TAAGTTTGTTCAAATAAAGCGCTTCAGGAAGATTATAATCTTGAATTTCATTCAAGCGTTTTGAATTTTCCAATCCACTAAAAACTCTTTATAAAGATTGATGCCGTAACAAAGAAATATATGTATTGTAGTATATCTGTGTGTAATTGAAGAGCATACGCAGTGTAAGTGAGTATACATTACATCATTTTAGCATTTACGAAACGAAAATTTAAAATTTAACGCGAAATTGGTTTATACGCCTGTATGTATGCAACAGCGTGGATAAAAATAAATAAATACGAGTTTCTATATTCAATTTAATTGCTTTGTTGTTGCAAATTTAATCATTTATAATTGTTTTTTACTGTCTCATATACCCATATACTCGTATATATATATATATGTGTGATATTTATTAATATAACTAAAAACAAGAATTTGCAAAAATTACAAAAGATGTTTTTATTTTAATTTTTTGTTAATTTTTTCTTAATGAAATATTCTTATAAAAACAGTCTATTAACTTAAGTAAAAATTTTGAAAAATGTGCAACGTTTTGGGTTTTTCATACCTAAATTTATAACTAAACTTTTTTAAGATGTGCAGCGCATTGAAAAATTATCCAAATTTTTAAATAAACATTCAAATGTATTTTTTTTAACTTTCAGCTAAAGTTTTTAAAAAATATTTTCAAAAAACTGTTTGTTATTTTTTTTTTTTTTAATTTTCCCCTTAAATTTATTTACAAATATTTTGGAAAAGATTCGATAGTTTTTTTTTTATAAATTTTGTGTTTTGGATTATAAAAATCTATATTTATTAATAAGTTTAGCAGTGAATTGAAAAATTACCCAAAAACACTTAAATAAAAATTTAAAATTATTTATATAAACTTTTTTTAAATTGTTTTTTTTTTTTTTTATTTTCTCTCAAATAAATATTTTTAAAAAAATTTGATTTGCTATATTTTCGTTTTTAAATTTCATGCTGAATTTAATAAAAATATTTTTGAAATTTTTTGTTCTTTATTATAAATTCATTAAGAAGCTGATAAGTGAAAATTTTGAAAATTGAAATGAAACGTTTTGCATTTTAAAAATTTATATTTAATAATAAGTTTTGCAGCGAATTGAAAAATAAAAATAAAAAAAAAATACTTAAACGGAATATTTAAATGTAATTTTTTTACTAACTCTTAGTAAAAGTTTAATAAACATATTTTGAAGACATACGAAATTATTTTTTTTTAATTTTCTATCAATTTTCTGCGACGTTTTTTTAATTTATCTATATATTTTCAGTAAAAAAAACCGTTAGAAATTTAATGAGCTCTTAAAAAAATATTTTCAAAAGTTATTGTGACGTTTTAGTTTTTAATAAATTTGTATTTATCTATAATTTCAATTATAAAACATTCATATAATTTAATTAAAATTATATTAAACTTTAATTTTATAGAGTTTACAAAAAAGTTATCCAAAATGATGTTTCATAATTTTCATTAAAATTTTTATCTTTGTAAAATATTTTTTACAATTTTATATTTTTTACAAAAAAAAAACTATTTTATTATTTTATTTCGTCATTTTTCAGATTTTTAATTTGAATTTAAAAATTCCACGCACTGGACTTGTGCACCGACGTTCACATAACATACATATAAATAAAAGTATATTAATTCGTTCAAGTGCCCGACTAACTGACGAATTATCTATTCACCATCTCGACCACCTGCTAAGCTGTCTAGCTAAGCTATGTAAGTACATATGTACGTATGTATGCATCTTAAAGTGTACGCTGCCGACTTTACATGCAAAAAGCTCTTACGCCAAGCGTACATTTATTCATCTGTTTGTGTGTACCGAAGTGCATAAGTTTGTTTATCCAGCTAGTATCTACTAGTACTTAATTTAAATTTTAAATTAAAAATAACTCATGTTGCGCAGAAAATTAAACTCGTTACGAAAAAGAAGAAAACCCAGAAAAAGAAAAATGAAAAAAATGAAAAATAAAAGAGTGGAGGCATACAAAATTGGATCTCTCAAAGGAATTAAGTGAGATTTTATTACATTTTTATTGCAATTTCTACTTTTGGACTTTTGGTGTTCCACACCGTTCTGATTGAATAACTTATGTATATTTATATATATATATGTGCTACAGTGGCATTTCTTCTTTTGCTGTTACTTTAGCTTTGGCTTGCTTATTTGCGATTAAGATTTTGCATTTTGTAACTGCAAAAATGATGAATTGCGTTGTGAATTGGCTACTGCACCGGGGACTACGTTGTTTATGGGCACTTACGTAATATTATTTTCTATGTTATGGCTTTGAGAACGTGTAATTTTTAAGTATAAATTTTCAAATTTTTTTTCTGGTAATTTTTTTTCTTTAATTGGTGCCACGATATTGTAAAAATTATAAAATTTTAAGCTACTAAAGCCCATTAATTCTGAACTAATTAAAAACTTTAAATAATTTTCAGTTTTATTGGTTGCGCTGTATTGGAGAGCGAAACTCTAAAAGTCAACAGAATTCTAAATAAATGATAAATTACTAAAAATTAGGGCGACTTGGTTTCCTCAACACATTGTGAAGCGATTGATTCAAATGTCGCATATGTTTTAGGTGAAAGTGAGGTAAGAAATAAATTACAAGAACGTTCGAAAAATCAGAGGTTAGACTAAATTCGATGATATATTAATTTTTTTTTATTTATATTATATTGTACAATTCCAGAGGATTATCCATTTCGTGGTTTCAAAGGTACAGAGCTGTATTTTGACATACGTCAAGTATAACTGTCTAACCAAACATGTTTTGTCTTAGCTAAAAGTCAGGTATTAATGAAAATGAGTTGCTCAACAATCACTCAACACGTTAAAAATGCTAAAACCTACAACAAAAATGGCGATACCAACATAGCCTGGCCAGAGACTGTATTGATTACAGATGTTGTAAGGCCTGCACTTCATTATATTGTTCATTCCACCTCAAATATCCGTAAGTTATAGATACTAGTACTAGTGAAAATGTAGCTGAAGAGCCGAGTACACGTATGTCTTTTTCTCCACGTTCCCAAGAACTGGCACAACATCCATACAAAGTCAAGCTCAAACAACAACTGAAACCATCTGACCTCTCACAACACCGTACATACATCGGTAGTTTAGCTTGGCGCTGTCAATTGGCGATCGAGATCGTGCAAAGTGACACCATTAAAATTTTAGCACTTAAAAACCAACATTCGTCAAGTTGTGGCTACGATATTGTCCAATGTGTGTCAAAAAGTGGTAGAAAAATTTTACCTCAAACGGATCGAACTATGCAGAATAGATAAGCCTTAGTTTTACTGTCAATGCTATGCTCAGATATTATTTATTCGCAAGTGTTGTAGAAAATAAGAAAATCAAATGGACAGCCTGAGTTATAATCGATCTTCTGGGCACTGTGTTCGAAAATCGCCTAAATAGCTAAATTCGCGATGTCAAATGGTTGCTCCGGAACTACGATTTGACTCTGTTGGACAATTTCTTATGGAAAGCAGTCAGTCAGGTAAATGTTATGCTAAGCATCCAAAGATGATTCATGTCTTCAAATTCGAAAGTGAAGCCGCTGTTGAAGACATTTAATTAAAAACAAAATCTTCCGCGTTTATTTACAACAATTTTAAAACGCAAAACTTTTCATGGTCCACCCTTTACAATGCATTCAAAGTGTATGTTTTATGTGTTTACGTCAATACCTTTGAAGCATTAAAAAGTTGATGGCATACAGATTTGTAAATTTAAGCCCTGCGGCAGTGTTATATATGTACCTTCAGTATAACTTGCAGGAAACGAAACAGTTTTATTACTGACGAAACTTGTTATTATTTCATGTTAGCATTTTTATAGCTTTAGACTAAGAAGCTCATAATATGTATATATAAGAAATCTCTGTAATATATGACTACATTTAATATATTATTGAACGTATGTACGAGTCTTAATATTATTTTATAAGCTTTTATAAAAATATTGGTTGTATGCATTAATTCGTGCGGTTTTCGAGGAGCGGGCTCTACCAGTATTATTTCGCGTCGTGTTCATCTGTGGCTATATTCAATTCTAAGGCACTGTCATTTCGCGTCGAGTTGATCAAGCAACCGTTTCCAGACGATTAAAATCATTAGGATTCATCCAGAAGCTTGGAAATTGGGTGCCTTATGAATTAAAGACAAGAGACATCGAACGTCGATTCTGCATGCCGGAAATGTTGCTTCAGCGCCACCAAAAGAAGTCATTTTGGCATCGGATTATAATTGGCAATGAAAAATGGATTCATTATGATAATCCAAAGCGCAAAAGATCATATGTGAAGCCCGGCCAACCATCGACATCAACGGCAAAGCCGAATATTCATGGTGCCAAGGTTAAGCTATGTATTTGGTAGGCCCACCACGGTGTGCTCTATTATGAACTATTGAAATTGGGTCATACGATCAATAGGGACCTCTACCGAAAACAATTGATTCGTTTGAAAAAGGCCATCGTGGAAAAACGACCGGAATATGCGACCAGACACGAATGATAAATTTTTCATCATGACAACGGCCACATGTTGCAAGGCCAGTTAAAAACTATTTGGAAAACTGTGGGTGGGAAGTTCTAACTCACCCACCTTATAGCACAGACATAGTACCTTCCGATTACCACTTGTTCAGATCAATGCAGAATGCCATCATGAGAGTACGCGTCACTTCAGAACAGGGTATCAGAAATTGACTCGATTCTTTATTGATCTCCAATCCGGGGAAGTTCTATTGGGATGGGATCGACAAACTGCCAGAAAGATGGGCAAACATCGTAGCTTCCAATCGGCAATACTTTGAACATTACATGTATACAAATTTTTTCACAATAGAGGCTTAATTTTCGAAAAAAAAACCGCACGAATTAATGCATACACCAAATATATTATACTAATATGTTTGACTGTAAAAAAAATGTTTTTTTGTTCTTCTTCTTTATACTCACCCAAAAATGTGGAACAAATATACTCCGATATTTGATTGCCAGATCTGCTCGATTCGCTAAAGTGTGATAATTCTTTATTGAGCATACGCTTGAACTGTGAAGAGGAAGACAAAAATAAGCATATAAACAATGTATATTAGTAATTAGTATTGAAACAAAAATATGTTTTATAACAATGAAAATAACCCCTAAAACAAAACAAAATTTTGTGTTCTACAAAAACTAGGTTTGCGCAATATTGTCCACTAAAAGTAGAATAAATCGCTGAAGAATTGATATTACTTCTTTAACCAGCAAAAAAATCGCGGTTTGTTTTGTTCTTAGACACAATTTTGGAGTTATTTATTTATATATTTCTTTGGATATATTTTATATATTATTTATTTTCTATAGATTATAAAATATAGTTGGCGCTGCAAATAGGTTGAATAAAATTTATAATCAAAGCCAAAATCGACTTTAAAACAGCTTTGAAAAACTGTTCACACAGGCACTAAATTAGTTAATTAAGAGCGTTGAAGCAATAAAAATACTGAATACAAAGAAATTTCATGAAATTCTAGCTAAGAATTCATGATTAATTGACAGAAAATTATCGTAAACTTGCCTATGCAACGCGGGAAAGAATGTTGAAAGGGAAGAGCACAGATCGCAGCTTAGTGACTAAATGAAGTTCATTGAAAGGAAATATCATAGAAATGAATTTCGAATTAAATTCCTTTTTTTGAATTTTGAAAGCATTTTTTATGACCAAAACCGAAACGTAAGAGAAAGGTATTGGACTGGTGAAATTGTGTTTGTTTTAGAGGATTGGTTTCCAAGAGGAAAAACAATCGACAACTTTTTCCAGAAATTGAGGCTGCATGTCAATAATAAAGCTCCGCATATTCTTTTCCAAGGCGTCAATTATCTCGAAATTATCAGCGTAGACAACTGATTTCACATAACAAATAACAAAAGTCGAGCGATGTCAAATCTCGTATGATCTTGTAGGCCAAATCACAGAGCTACGACGCGAGGTATTGCGCTCCCCAAAAGTTTCCTTCAATAAATTGATTAGTTCGTTTGTTTGTATGTCATTTAGCATCGTCTTTTTTAACAAACGGTCGTCCACATCAACATTCTCCCACTCATTAGGACCGGGTTCAATTTTGAAAAAATATTACGTAATGTTTCCTCCTGCTCATAAAACACATCGAACAGTGACTTTTTGAGGTTGTAACGGCCTCCCAGCATTGGCATGTTGATCATCGTTACTGCAAAAGTGTCAAACGCGTCGATTGTGTTTATTGGTTTACCATTTCAACTAAAAAGTGAGCTTCATCGTTGAGCAGAATTTTCTTATGAAAGCGGCATCAGTATCCCGTCTTTTTTGGGCCGGTTCACTGAGTGTGTCGTTTATCTTCAATTTTGACACGAGGTGGATTTGGCAGGCCCTGAAACCAAGATGCTTCCGCAAAAACTTTCATATAGTGAAGGAGGCTGGTTACTCTACTCTGCAGTAGCAATATCGTTTTCTGCTGGGCGATTATGCCCATATATTTTCGGACGCAGCGTGTGATGCGCCGTGCTAGCCGAATTATTATTTCGGTTGTTCCCAAGGAAGTGTATACATTGTAGTTTGAGTGGATAAAGGCTCCTTGTCGTTTGCAGTTCTGTAAAACTCTGTACCCTTTTTTCTTGAAATTAGGCTTTTTTTCTTGGTTAAACATTTCGTTTTTCTTTCGGTTAGAAATAAAGCAGTGCAATCAGCATCAGGTATTCCACTCCAGTTTCATTAACTTAATTGAGTGTGTGTGAACATCAACCCTAGTAAATTAAAGCTTTATTGGCTCAGATACTGGCTTATTAAAAAGAAAACTCGGTTATTAATATATTATTATATTTGAGCATCATTTTTTATGATATTTCAGTGCAAAACATGTTCGATAAAAATTTTTTTTGGTTCAGAAAAGTTTTAAATATTGCAAATTTGCTAAAAAAATTCGATTATTTATGGCTCAAGCTTTTCAAGACTACGAAAGCAAGGTTTGCTATTTAGAAATTAGCGCAAAATATTATTGAGAAAAATCTGTCCTACAGCAATTCCTAACGAATAAAATATTTCTATTAATGTTGTATTTGTGTATGTGAGTAATCATAAAGAATGCTTATGTATTATATAAAATATATATATATATATGTATATAATATATCAGCTCACCTTGAGCGAAGCCATGTCCGATACACTGCGATGCGTCTGTATGGTCTCCAATTGATCCAAACACCAGTCCAACTCCTCGATTGTGTCTGTTGCCAAGCGATTATACGATTCATCTCCTTGGACCAATTGTACACCGGCTGTGGATGCACGTCCCACGCTGGACGATTGTGTTGGGCGCCTGGATCTTTTTGTATTAATTATTTGTTCCAAAGACAAGTGACACACACACACACGCACATACGCACACAAACACAAATGCAAGCACAGACACACACAAATCAAACAACCAATCAAAGCATGAGCGCATATAATTTTTGTTTTTGTTTTCGCATGGAAAAGGTGATGAGAAAAAAATATAAGTAAATATGTAAATAAGTAAACAAACGAAAGGGGACAAAGCAAGCAAGAAAATAATAATAATAACAATAATAATAAAAATGACAACAATAACATTGCAAAAGGCAATAGCAATAGCAACAGCAACAACAACAGCAATTAAATGAACAAAATTACACGAACATTTAAAACGAGCAGCAAATGGGCAACAACAATTATGTAAAAAAAAGGTGAAGGCGTATGAAATGCGGAAAAGTGTGCGGCAAAGAGTTTCGTTTCGACAAATTACAGCCAGTGGCGGCATTCGGTATTAGTAGTTTGAGAAAAATGCATTAGTTAATTAGAGCAAATAAGAAATAGTTGGGGATTTTTTCAGTTGCATTTTGGAAAGTTGACAATTGTTGAAATATAGTTTTGTTTTCATTTTTTTTTTGATTTTTGGTAACGAAATTTATATTTTTGTTGTTGTTGCAGTTTGTAAGTTTTTTTTTTCGTTTGTAGTTATATTTAGTTTGAAAAGAATTTTGTTTTCGCATCATAGTAAATTGTGCACATTTTTTGTGACAGTTTTGAAGTGAAAATATTTTCATATTGGACATTTACAAATATAAATACGATGATTCAATGAAATAATAAGAAAATTGTTTTTTTTTTTTGGTTTTCAAAAATGTGTTTATGTATATAATTTGTAATGCATGTGTGTGTGAGACGAAAATACATTTTTTGGTTGACATCAAAATGCGGGAGGGACCAAAAAGGAAGAGAAAGAGAAAAAGACAGAGAGAGAAAAAATATATATCAAAAAAACTAAGTAAACATTGTTTCTTTTTCTTTTTAAAATTGTTGGTATACAACATTTACATATGTATATTGGTTCATATAAAATACGTAATTTTTTTTTTTTACATAAAGGGTTGAAAATTAGTGACATTTATGTATTTAATGGAATATATTTTCAAAAACACTTAATTGAATTAGGGGACTGTGATTTAAAAAAAAGAAATGCGTATTTAGAAAAAATTTATTTTGGGCGCTACATACAATAAAATATATTAAGAAAAGGTTGAGTTTAAATTTATTTTCTCCACTAATTTAATTCATGTATGTATATGCTTAATAAATTAATCTGATTTAATTTTTCTCTCATAGAATGTTATCTCATACTAATTATTTTATTTCTTACATTTTTGAAAATATTTTCTTAATTTATTTTAATTAAAATAAATTCCACTTTAATCCATTTCAATATAAATAATTTTAGCTAATTTTTAAATTGATTTTCTAATGTTTTTAAATTTTTTTTCATTCTTGTAAGTTTAATATAATTTAATTTTTTATATTTTATACTTATACAATTTAGTTTTATTCAATTTAGTTTTATTCAATTAAGTTGTATTTATTTAATTTTAATTTGTGTTATTTAATTTCATTATGTCTAAGTTATTTTAATTTGGTTTAAATCTATTTTGTTTAATTTCAAATTATTATATTTTAAGTCATTTTGTCTTCATTGATTTTTTTTTTCTTGATTATATCCTTTTATTCAACTTACATATACATTGCAATTTTAATTTTATGTATTTTAATATATGCTTTTCTATGTTTTTCTATTTTATTTATTATATTAATTTTACTTTTTTTATCTCATATTATTTTGGTTTCTGGTACTTTTGATTTTATTTATTTGTATTATTTGATTCTAATTGAATTTAAAGTATTTAATTTTCTTATTTGGTTTCTTATTAAATTTCATTAATTTATTTTAATTTATTAAAATTTATTTAATTTTATTCTATAGGAATTTATTTTATTTTGTTTTTTATTTGTTTTCTTTTTATTTACATTTTTTAGTTTATTTCATTTTTTATATATAATTGATGCTTTGTAACCACTGAGGTGATTATGCTTAATTTATATTTATTTTATTTTGCTTCATTTTATTTTTATATTTTATTGCAATTTATATTTTTTATTATATTTTTAATTGTTTTATTTATTTAATTTCATTTTATATTATTTTAATTATTTTTTGTACAAAGAATTTATTTCTTTTATATTATTTTATTTTACAAATTTTTATGTGTAATTAAATTTTTTTTAAATAATTTTCTTTTTTTAATATCGTTTTATTTGTTTAATTTATTCTACTTTATTTTTTATTTTTAAAATAATTTAATTTAATTTCTTTGCTTTTATTTTACTTTACTTCATTTTATGTTAACTTATTTTTTCTTTGTACTACACATTATTTTATATTATTTATTTAATTTTATTAATTTGAATTGATATATTAAACTTAATTAAATTTTATTTTCTCTAATTATATTTTATTTTCTTATTTTAATTTTACAATAATTTATTTGAATTTATTGCATATTTTTTATTTTATTTTGTATTATTAAAAACATTTAGTTTTGTTTTTTTATTTAACTTGGTTTAATTTTATTCATTTTATTTATTTTTTTTTAACTCATTTCATTTCTTTTCTTATGTATTTTAGTTTTAGTCTATTGAACATTTGGTGAGAAAATATACGCTCAAATAAGCCATTATTCGCTATTAATTAGGTATAAAACACGAGGAGTTAGTAAAAACACTTTATTATATTTAAGGAAAACATTATTGAAAAACATTTATGCACTCAAAAAGGATTAAAATGCAAATGACCCAAATTGTTTGTGTGTTTTTGATGTGTGCTTTTAGGCGTACGCATACTTACTTATTGGATGCTTGTACATTTGTCAGACTTAAAAGATTATTCCGCACTGAACGTAAGCTGGCCAAAATTTGGGCAAATGGTGTTACAATAAGATCTTCACCATGGCTGTAAAAAAAAGGGGGAAGAGGAATATTTTAATGATTGGTTAAGTGTATGAGAAGATAAATATAGAAATATGCATAAATGTACATGTGTACATATAATCAAAATATCAATAAAATCGCTTTAAATATTTAGAACTACAATTTCTATACATTAGCATGCTAATTATGTTAGGAATAAAAATATTTGAGAGAAATTTGAAACATGCATAAAAATACGAATATTATTTATGAAATTATTTAAAAAATTCTATTTGGTTTTAAAACGTAAAAATATAATAATTAATGCAACAAAAAATAAAATCAATTTATATATATTTATTATTGTACTATCCTTAACTTAAATCATGTATAATTTTTTATACATTTTCAATTTTATGTTTTGTATATTAAATACTAAGAATGCCTTATTGTTCTAAAATGTAAACTACCCTAATGCTGCTAAGCCCATACAGACATACATATTTGCCATTGGAATTTTGATTATGATTTCGTTCTCAATTTTATTATTTATTTGATGTATAAGTATGTGTATATTTGTTGTTCTTTTTTTTAGAAATTTTTACTACGTGCCCACAATCATGGCAACACCGAGAATACAAAAAAAAATACGACATACAAACAAAAAAATATTTGTTGGCCATAAATACATACTTACATATATATTTTTATTTATATATTATTTCTACAGCTGCCGTAGCCATTAAATATTTTTCAAAGCAATTTTTTTTCTTTTTTCTATTTATTTCCCTGTGTTGATTATATTGATATGCTTGTTGTTCTACACAGTTTTGAAATATAATAATTTTATAATTATTACTATAAATTTTTTATTTTTTCTTGCTACTTTCAGTTTTATTTTATAATTTAAATGAATTCTTCGAATTAAAAAATAAATAATTTTTTTTTTTTAAATAAATATGAAAGTCACTGAATTTTTTTTTATTAAAGATGAGGTTTGATATTATAAAACATACAGACTTTTTATTTGACTTAAATTCATAAATAATTTATTTTCCTATAATTAATCCTACCCGTAGCTTTTTAGTAGATTTGACAACATATTATATATGTAAGGTATGTGCGACCTTATTTCCATTTTGTTCGTTAGACTAGCTCAACATTTGCGATAAATAAATAAATAATTTTTTTGCGTTTATACTTAAGTTTTTTATTCTTTTTTTTTAAGTTTTATATTTAAATATTTGTTCTATTTATTTAATTCTTTTTAATTGATGTTTTTGCTTTAATTTTTTAAGTTTAATTTTTTTTCAATAATTTTTTTTATTTATTTAAATTTAAATTTGTATTTAACATTTTTTTTTTCGCATTGTATGGACTTCACATTATGTTCAGTAATTAGGAGCACAGCGGGTGGGAAATTGTTGTATTTTGGAATTTTTGTTGTTCTTTTTACTTTTTTATTTTGCTTCTATTTTTTCATACAGCCAACAAGCATGAGAAAAGTGAGGAAATTTTTGCCGGTGTTGATTGAGAGACAAGAAAATGCGAGAGCATGCAAGTAAGTAAACTGAGTGTTGAGTGATTTGTGTGAAGCTGACTGAAAGAGGCGCCCACTTTCACTTTCAATATGATTACTAGACTTTTGTTGCGACTTCGTCAGCATGGAATTTCCCATTGAAGATAGAAGATTTTTAATTTTTTTCATATTATCGATTTCAGTATAAAACATCAATCATTTTGTTGAAAATTGTGAATACTAATAAAAATACTAATTTTTAATGTCAAATATCAAGCAAAGCGTTCTTTGGCCCATTTTTTTGAATTATAAGTTTTCCACATATTACCCTACGCAAAAAGCTTTTTTGTAGTAGATTCCAAATATCAGGCAATTCGAATTAAAAATCCACATATTGACCTAAGTAAGAAGCCACCCTCGTATGTTCGCAATATTAAGCAGAAGACAAACCATAAACACGATTTTATCAAATATATAGGTCTGCGGTCCTTTTCGCGGAGGAGAGGTTGTTCAACAAGTTAATTTAATTAAATATATAACATCTAAAACTAAATTTCCAATAGATCGGTACCAGGTCTGCCTCCCGGAAAATACTTTTTTATCGGCGACCTTCACTATATGCTGATCACACACTGCAAGTTTCAGATTTATGTTTATCGGTCAGTTATTTAGGACAGAGCCTTTTATATATATGAATGTATATGTATATAATATTTAAATAACGTATAATGTATTAAGTTATTAGAAGTAGGGAAGGGAGTTATGATCACAACACCATCAGACAATCCTTTCTTTCGATAAACTCAAAACCATTTAAGTGGATAAATGCTGTGAAGGTTCTTTGTTTCGGAAAACATATTTTTTTCTGTAAAAAATATGGAAAAACAATATTAATTATTGAAAAAACCAATACTGTTGATGAGGTGCAGAGAACCTCTATTTTCGGCACATATTATGAACAATTAAGCAAAAATCAATCAAGCCTGACTAAGAAAGCACTGGGTAAGCGCTCTCTCTAAGTGAGTATAATTCACAGGTAACGTACTTCGACCTTCCAAAGCTTCCTTAGATGAAAAACAGCCAGCATAAGTTACACAAGTTCTTTCTCCATGACTCCTATCTGTTCCTCTATAGACAACAATTTAGTATTGGCAATGCATGACTCATTCTTTATTTAAAAAAAAAATACACAAACGATCATCATGATATTTTACACAGGCATTTGATATGCAATTTTGGCCCAAAAAATAACAAAAAATGCGAAAAAATTGTTTTGAATAAAAAACAAAGTTAATTTTTCTATTTGCGGTCGCCTGGCATGAATATAATAAGAGTTTCTCATAAAAATTCATCAACCCTTCGGAGGCGGCTTAACATAAACTGTAGTTCGCTCCATTTGTTATAGAAATTTCCGCCGAACACAGCAGCACCAATTATATTGAAAAAAAAACTTTCATTTGGATTTATTTGCATAAAAATCTACCAAAAATACTCTTTAACCTTTTTTATTTACTTTGTCCAAATTACAGTTAATCGTATTGACAAAAACTTTCTTCACTTCAGATGATCCTGCTATGAGTTCCACTATCAGCGTTGATGTACCTATTTATATAAATATATATATATATATGCTTTTAAAATTTCAAGATATTCTTTAACTGATACGTAGTGTGATCAGAAAATGACCGTTAATTTCAACTTGTTGAAAAAGGCATAAAAACCATTAATAACTATCTTGTCGCCTTCAAAGTAATCGCCCTCAGATATAATACACTTATGTCAATATTTTTTCCAATCCTCGAAACACTTCTGAAGCCCGTTTTTTGGTATAGCCGAAAGCTTTTGTTTCGGTTTTTCTTTTGTATCCTCAATAGTAGCAAAACGCCTTCCATTGGGATGATTGGGCTTTGGTTTCAATGTCATAGCCATACAATCATGATTTGTCAGCAGTCCTGACCTTTTTGAGGTAATCTTTAGGACCGTAAAAAGTTTGACAAAAGAAATTATCGAAAATTGAACAAATCACACAAGAAACTCCTCGTTTAAGGAAAAATGTGATAGATTTTGTAAAATTATTTCCTTTCATGTGAACTTATCATTCTGTTAATTTGAACTTATCTTACTTATAACAATACACTATATACACATAAACATGGCTTTGTCCTGAATGACTGACGGATTAACCCACAGCTAGAACCTATGATCGTAGAGGCCTAAAACTTTACGATGTAGCGCATATGACATAGACAAATCCTGCGGTACTTTCGGGGAAATAGACCTTGCACTGATCTATTGGAAGAAATCAAATTTGCTTTTAAATCGTTCGTTTTAGGTGAAATTAGGTCCGGCGGTAGCTCTTGACCTACAATCATATGGTGAACTCTTCCTCATCCGTGAAGTGGGCCTGGCACTAATTTATTAAAAAAAAAAAAAAAACGTGGAACCATTTTGAAACTCCATGTGATCGATAAAATCTAGTTGTTATAAACCCTCGTAAGTGAGTCAGACTGCTACGACGCCTCTATATGCTAGCAACTCGGATCAGTAAAAAGTCTCTAAGAGCGAAAAAACATGGTTCCATATACTCTCCTTAAGCAGATTTCACTATACCAAAAAAGGGATTATTATTGTTACTATTATTATTATTATTTTTTTCTGCAAGCGACACGTGATTAATAATACGGAAAAATTTGAAAAATTTTAAAAATTTTGATGACAAACATGACAGTGAGATTCGTTTTTCTTTTATTACAAATATTTCATAAATTAATTAATTTACTCATTAATTCCACTTGAAAGAATTCCCATAAATTCTTAGAAGATCATAAATTCGGAGTGTAAACTGATTTTCCTGAATTTGTGTAATAATTCACATGCATATATATATAAATCTTTGTAAGTATATATGCATCATAAAGAAATTTTAATTACAGCAACTGACTGACACTGTCATTAACGCTTGGGTCAATTACCCAGTCGGCCAAAGCTAGACAATATATGTGTACATACATATGTGGGAGGACACTGACACTTTCAATGCATTGGCAAGGCATTGGTAAGTGATGAAGAAGTGAAAGCAAGGCGTAAAGGAAAATTAATTATGCTATTTATGTATGTGAGTATATGTATAGATGCAGTGTATGCAAGTGTGGGAAAAATACAATTGTATGTATATAATTGCAATAACAACACGCAGTATGTATTTATTAACTAAAAATATCTCTCTCTTATTTACTTTACATGTTTTTAGAGGCTTGCATATGTACGCATGCAAGAGTAGGCGTTAAATCAAAAGTTGTTCCAATCATTTTACACAAAAAAAAAAAAACTGAAAAAAAATCACACAATTCAATTTTTAATTTTGTTTATCCAATGACGTCGTTGGCAAATGCCATGAGCAATGCGTAAATATAAAAATTCACCATGTCCCTCATAACAAAATAGACATACATACATATTTATGTATGTCGCCTATCACTTGGCACAACCATACTCATCAAAGCGAAATTCAATGGCGTTGACAC